TAGAGTTTATCGTAGGGCTGGGAATGGAGCCCACTTTCCCTAATGTATGTCTGCCTAAAACCTAAACAAATGTGGGTTTTGTTAGTAAGGAAGAAAATACTAACATCAAATAATGATTGGCAGACAAGACAAATTAAGACAATGGGTGAGGATCTTTAAGGAGCAATGTGATTTTGCAGACAGGGTATATGAGTTTGCAGCCCAGAGACTTCAGCTGAAATCTTACTTACAAGTGTACATTTTTGGTCAGGTAAATGATGAGGCTACTTTTTACTTTTCAAAAATTTATGGATATGGAATTAAAAGGTGAGTTGGTTTTGGTGCATGCATTTTGTAATTTTTATAACCAATGTGTATGAGGGGTCCTGAAAAACATCGTAGAAAAATGTATAGAATGAAAAACTATACATGGTTCCCATTTTTCCCCACCAAAATAAACTTAATGTTTTATTTCCATTTTTAATTAACTTAAAAAATTTAAAACTGCATACTTGAGAGGCTGAGAGAGAGCAAGAGACAGACATAGAAAAAGACAGTTCTCATCCATTGTCCACTGCCCGAAAGTCTGCTATGACCCTGGCCTAAGGCTGAAGCTAGGATCCAGGAACTCAATCAAGGTATCCAAGTGGGTGGCAAGAATCCAACCCCTTGAGCCATCACCACTTTCTCCTAGCTTCTGCAGTAATAGGAAGCTGGAATCAGGAGCAGAACTGGGTATTGACTCCAGGCATTCTGACATAGGATGCAAAGTATCAGGGCCAGTGCTGTGGCGTAGTGGGTAAAGGCGCCACCTGCAATGTCAGCATCCCATATGGGTGCCGGTTCAAGTCCTGTCTACTCCACTTCTGATTCAGCTCTCTCCTATGGCTTGGAAAAGCAACAGAAGATGACCCAAGTCCTTGGCCCCTGCACCCATGTGGGAAGACCTGAAGGAAGCTCTTGGCTCCTGGCTTCAGATCGGTACAGCTCTGGCCATTGTGGCCAATTGGGGAGTGAACCATTGGATGGAAGACCTCTCTCTCTCTCTGCCTCTCTTTCTCTCTGTGTGTAACTCTGACTTTCAAATAAATTTTAAAAATCTTAAAAAAAAAAAAGTATCTTAACCGCTAGCCTAAATGCCTACCTCCTCCATGAAGTTTTTCAAAATACCCCCATATTTAACACCTCTGCATCTCAGTTTTCTCATAAACCAGAGACAAATCTTTACCTTGGAGAGATGAAACAAGTTAATATGGATCAAATCCTAGCCTGGAGCCTGGCATCCATTCATTGTTATTGTTGAGGTGATGGTAATGGAGTTATAATTGGTAAGCACCATGTGGTAAGCATTACACAGCAAAGAAGCAGAAAGCTGACTTGAATATGATATGTTCTAGACTTAGAATATGACACATTGTTAGTTTTGTTTCTTCTTGGTGTATTTTCTGTGTCTCTGCCCACCCACATTCTAAGTGTACTAAAAGTAAAGGCATAAACAAGTCAAGAAGGAAAAATGAGCTAGTGATTATCATTAACACACACCCGTAAGTCACATGCAAGGTCCTGAAATGAATTCCTGAGAATGGAGGCAGCTGCACTTCCACAGCCAATAATTGGTTAGTGTGGAGTGGGCCGAGGTCTAAAGGTAAGGATGCCTGCCTGCATCTTTTAGAGCTAAGTGTGGACTCTAACATGTGGTCTGCTGAATCTCCTGAATGGAACTGGGAGGAGGTCCCTTGTGTCATGGCAGTCCCCTCAACATTTCTATCAGAATCAGATAGAGGTTGAACTTGGGTGCAAAACTTTTATTTGATCCTATCTCAGTTTGAGGTTTGTTGCTTAATATGGGTCCCCTCAGTCAATTGCATTTAATTATTATTATTTTAAACTTTGACCTTTTCAAATGTGTTCCTAGATAAGGGTCAGTAAGAAGCAATGAATTAGCGAATCACATCTGCATAGCTCACTGCTTTAGAACACTGTCTCATAGCCTAAGATTCCTGGTATCTTATGGGGTTACTGAGTCAGTGAGGGTGAAACTGGGAAGCTCTGACAGCCGTTTGCAACACAGCAATAAAAGTGTTAATTTAAAAAATGTAAATGTTTCTGACTTCATTTTTTAGCTTTTTCAAAGCTAAAACTGTTGGTTTGTCAACATCTACTTGTGTGGAAAGCTTATACAGAAAGAAATGGATATGATTTTATGAAGGAATTGGACTTCTGTCCAAACACGTATTTGACTAATTGGTAAAACTGGTTCCTTGTTATCAGCATATGTTAAGTATGAACTGTCTTACTTTAAGCTAGAGAGTAGTAGAAACCACCCATGCCTTATTTATTAACCACTTGGCATAAATCACTGTGATCTCAACTTAACTGTAAAGCGTCCACTGTTTACCATCTCCTCTCCTGCCTCAACAAATAAATAGTTTCCAAGAACAATACATTACTTCAAGAAAGGGGGGTGTCCTGGGTAGAGCCAAGACATGAAAACGCAACCCATCTAAGATGCAGACAAGCTTGCTGTCTCCAATGACAGTTCAAGTACAACTCAGCACTGTAGGTACAATAGCTTAATGCCTGTGGCAGAATTCTGTAGCAAAATTCTCTCTGATTTTCCTCTTCTTTTTTGTTTCTTCACTTATTCTTGTCCCTCCTGCTATCTGGTGAGCTTTCTTAATTTTTGGAAATTTATATTTTACAAAGAGCATTCAGGGAAGGAAAAGAACTACTATACTCATAATATTTGGTCACAAATGAAGTCTATATATTTATGTGCTGCTATTCCTTGGAAGAGTGGAAACTAGAAATTCCGACAGGGAGTGGTGACAAATGGCTGTGGAGATCAATATATTTCATTTAGATCATTGTAAATAGTAGCTTGCTCACATTGTGATTCTATAGTCTTATTTGGTTTTAGTAATTCTAAAATATGTGGGGTTTTTTAAAGATATATTTATTTATTTGAGAGGCAGAATTACAGAGAGAGGGAGAGACAGAGAGAAAGGTCTTCCATCCTCTGGTTCACTCCCCAAATGGCTGTAATGGCTAGAGGTGGGCTGATCCAAAGCCAGGATCCAGGAGCTTCCTCTGGGTCTCCCACATGGGTGCAGGGACTCAAGCCACCCTCCACTGCTTTCCTAGGCCATCAGCAGGGAGCTGGATTGGAAGTGGAGCAACCTGGACTCAAACAGGTGCCCACATGGGATGCCAGTGCCACAAGTGAAGGTTTAACCTATTATGCCGCAATGCCAGCCCCATGGTGTTACTAATCCTATAAAAGGAACATGGAACATCTGAAAACACCTCGTTGAGGTAACTCAATTTACTGTTTCCTAAATTTTGTCTTAAGATAATCTCAAAAGAAGCAGGATAATGTATTTTTGTGTGTGTCCAGTATTTAAACAGCTGAACAGATAGGGCTTGGTGGAGGTTGCCTGGTATAGACAGAATGTATGGGTGGGACAGACTGTACTGTGACCAAAGGGAAACTCAAAGTCTGTTCAGACCAGAGCCAGCTATGGGGAGAAATGGGCCCGGTTGCAGAGGTCTGAGGTGGGAGGGAGTTATCCCTGTTTTTAGGACCATCAGGCCATACCACTGAGTAGGAATTTCAGGTGCATCACACTGAGCTAGCCAGTGTTAGCATAAAACCAGGATTGTAATGCTGACAAAGGCTTCAGAAGTCTTGCCTGTGAGGTCCAGCTGAGGGCCATTTGCTTTCTGCAGAAATCATAGCCATTAGGACAGAAGTGCAATGACTAAACCACAATATTTAGAGAACACCCAGAATCAGCCTCAGTCTCTCTCTCTCTTTCTCATTCGCTCCCCTCCCTCTCCCTCTCTCTCTCCCCCTGTGTATTTATTTAAATTTAATAAATACATTTAATTTAATAATGCATTAATTTGTTTGGGAGAGAGAGAAAGACGTTCCCATCTGTTGGTTCACTCCCCAGTGTGTAAAATAGCTGGGCTGGGCTGGGTCTACCCCCTGGATCCTGTAATCAATCCAGATCTCTCATATAGGTGACAGGAGTCCAGTTACTTGAGGCTTCACCACAGCCTCCCAGGATCTGCATAAGCAGGATCTGGAGCTGGGAATTGAGTCCAGGCACCATGGTGTGAGGCAGGTGTTCCAACTGTCAGCTTAACATCTAGGTCAAACATCTTTCTTTCTTTCTTCCTCACTTTCTTTCTTTGTTTCTTTATTTCTATATTTTTAAAAATATCTATTTACTTATTTGAAAGGCAAAGTTAGAGAGGGAGAGACAGAGAGAGATCGTCCATCTGCTGGTTTACTCCTTAAATGACCACAAAGGCAAGAGTTGAGTCAAGCTAAAGCCAGGAGCTAGGAACTACATTCATGTCTCCTGTGTTTGTGGCAGGGGCCCAAGTATTTGGGCCACCTTTTGCTGCTTTCTCAGGCACATTAGCAGGGAGCTGGAGCAGAAGTGGAGCAGCCAGGACTTGAACTGGTGCTCAGATGGGATGCCGTTATCACAGTCAGAAGCTTAACCCATTCCACCACAATGCTGACTCCTAGATATATTTTTTAAAAAATCATTATTAGAATAAATTTCACTTAGTATCCTTACAGATAATACCTTTTGTTGTAGTGTTTATTATTTTTATTTAGTAACTTGCATATTACAAAAATTATTGCATATAATTTAGAAGATATTAAAAAAGACAAAAAAGGAAAAAAATTATCCACATTGATATTTTCATAACCTACAGATGATCACTTTTATGTTTTTATGTACACCTTCTGCACTGTGTTACATGTCTACATAACAAACTTGAAATATACTAAATTTGGTAGGTAGAAAATAAACAAAATTCACCCAAGTGGCTATTTGGGGGAGAGTCCAAGGATTAAAGAAAGTGGAAGATTGAGAAACTGTGTGGATTATTGGTTCACAGTGCTATCCTACTACACTGATATGGAATAATCCCTGAAGACCTGTAGAGGAAATCTTCTTTGGATATCATTGACTTATCAGGAAGGGCTTCTCTTTCAGGACTGCTACTTTACCCAGCATCATGGAGACCCCTGGGCCAGACAGAATGAGAGAGTTCCATCTAAAGCCTTGAACATGTTGTTTTGCAGGGCAACACCAGCCAGACTCACCATGGTAGGTTATGATTCAGGAGGGTCCAATCGTGGGCCTTGAAGATGTTGGGTGTTGTGGGGCTCCATGGGATGCACAGCCATGGAGCCCCCATGTCAAGGTCGGTCTGATAGCTGTTGCTGTGTCTTTATCACAGGCGGATGTTGCTAGTTTCGGTTAGGGCAATGCTTTCCCACGGTCAGGACTTTCCAGAGGAGTTGAGAATGTTGTAAACAACAAGATGGCGCCGAGGGCTGCGCGGTGAGCCTGCCTGCTGCATGTCACCTCATCTGATTGGCCCGAGAACGCGTGCACACTGCGTGAACAGACAGCGGATTGGAGTGTTCCGTGCATGGACTTGAGCCCGCTTGCAATTGGCCAGATTTTGTATATAAGCTATGTGCTGAGGAAGGGGGCTTTCCTGTCCACTCTCCTCCTTTCATTTTTTCTCTGTCCTGTTATTTTCCGATTAAAAGTCTGCTGAAGACCGATAAGCTGCGAACAGTGTCGTTCCTTTGCGGGCAAGGGAGCGGCAAGTGGTGCTGTGACTCGGATCCGGACCACTTTCTACACGCAGGAATAGGTAAGGAACAAAAGGTAAGCGTGCGAGTGCACGGAAATCCAGCTGGGGAAAGAATAGAAACCGCGGTTCCATTGAGGAAAGACGGGGAAATTAAGCGCCAGAAAAAAGGGTAAAGGAATCCCTTAAAAGGCGGGAGTACAAAGTGTTCAGAAACGCCAGGAAATAGGCGGAAACTTCCTTTTTACCTCCAAATGGACAATACTCGGAAACTTCCTTTTTACATCCAAATGGACTATTCTCCGTCCACCACTAGGTTGCACATGCTGTTGAGCTGCTTGTTAAAAGCTGCGGGGACGCCCGTTAAGGCGGCCACAGTATGTGCATTCACTAGGGCTGTTGCCAAGACGTCACCATGGTTTGTGGAAGGTGGCCAATTAGATGAGCAACAGTGGCGGAGAGTAGGGAGACAGTTGAGAGCAGCCAGAGAGCCGGCAGAAATACTTAGATTATGGCAACTCATTGAACAGACACTTCAGAACCCCACTGAGAGCATAGGGCTTTTACTTGATGAAGCATGCGAGCTCCTAGAGAAGGTTCAGGAGGAGTCTCGGTATGATAGTCAGTCTAGTGACTGTGGTAGTCAGTGGGACAGGAAACAGACGGACAAAGGTCCCTGTAGGGACCAGCCACCGGATGAGACAGAGGAAAATTCAGTGAAGGACCATCCCCCATCGAGTGCGCCCCTGCGCTCGAGGGGGCCATCTCATTTATATCTCAGTTTGACTAGGCTAGCAAATTTGTCCTTAGAGGACGAACTGCTGCCGCGGTATCGTCCATTGACTCTCCCTAAATTGGCCCCTAGGAAAAAAAAAAAAGCTATAAAGACTCCATTACAGATACAGGGAATAGGGTTAAACAAGGCGAGCCATAGAACAGTTCATTAATGCTATAAAAATAGTCAGTCCTTGGTTTGAAAAAGGAGTCGTGACTAAGCAACATTGGGACTTCCTCAGAAAAAACTTAAATGTGCATTTAAAGAAACAAAGCAAGCCGTATAAGAGAGGGAAGAGATGTATAATTTGGGACATGCTCAAGCTGACTTGCCCCAAATGGTAGAGTTAGAAACATACCAGGGGATTCCAATTCAATCCCATCAAGGTGGCATGCACCAATGCCATCTCACTATTCCAAGTGATCAATTTCAGTTCACAATTGATCATAATGAAAGGACTAAGAGTCAAAGGGAGCACATAAACATGTCTAGTACCTGCTAACACTAACCGATAAAATAAATAAAGGGGAGAGTGATCCAACATGGGAAGTGAGATACTCAGCAGACTCATAGAATGGCAGATGTCCTAAATAGCACTCTGGCCTCAGAATCAGCCCTAAAGGCATTCGGATCTGGCTGAAAAGCCCATGAGAATATTTCAAGCATGGAAAGCCAAGACACTCTGGCAAAAGATCTCTGCGAGTGAGATCCCAGTGGAAAGAACAGGTCTTCAAAGAAGGAGGTACCTTTTTCTGAAGGGAGGAGAGAACCTCCACTTTGACTATGACCTTGTCTAAACAAGATAAGAATCGGAGAACTCAGAGGGCTTCCATAGCCTTGGAAACTCATGACCGGAGCATAGGGAGACTACTGATGCCATAGACAGGAGTGTCAATTGGTAAAGTCAACAACAGGAGTCACTGTGCACTTACTCCTCATGTAGGATCTCTGTCCTTAATGTGCTGTGCATTGAGATTTAATGCTATAACGAGTACTCAAACAATATATTTCACTTTGTGTTTCTATGGGGGTGCAAACTGTTGAAATCTTTACTTTAATGCATACTAAAACTGATCCTCTGTAAACATAATAAAAAAAAAAGAAAGAAAGAAATTATCAATTCCCAACTTGACTCTCACTGGGATTAAACATGACAATAGGTCTGATCTGATTTCATCATCATTTAAAAAAAAATCATCTATTATTTTTCACTTTATGTTTCTGTGTGGGAGCAAACTGTTGAAATCCTTACTTAATGTATACTAAGCTGATCTTCTGTATATTAAGATAATCGAAAATGAATCTTGATGTGAATGGAAGGGGAGTGGGAGTGGGAAAGGGGAGGGTTGTGGGTGGGAGGGACGGTATGGGGGGGAAGCCATTGTAATCCATAAGCCGTACTTTGGAAATTTATATTCATTAAATAAAAGTTAAAAAAAAAAAAGCAAGCCGTGACAAAGGCTGTGAAAACTTTGTTGCAGATGTAGAGAATAGGGTTAAAGAAGTTAACCGTAGAACAGTTTATCAGTGCTGTTGAAACAATTAGTCCTTGGTTTGCTGAAGAGGGTGTTGTGGATAAGAAACACTGGGAGTAAAAAATATAGATCAGTGTACACTGGACAGCCCTCACCTTGCATTTAAATATTTCATTTGAAGTAAATGTTCTCTGTTATAAAGTTAATATTACTATGTGCAATGAGAAATTGTGGTGACAAAGTGTCCGGACTACCCATTTTGTTTTTGTTTTATGTACTAACTCTACCCCTATTATTGATAGGAATGCTTGAGCAGATTATGCTTGGTTTGCTTTAAAAAAAAAAATGTAAGTCAAAATATGCCACAAGTAGTTAAGATTCCACACACCTGCAGACATGTAATAATTACAGATAATAAGAGGCTAGTTCCCTCAGATATGTTTCAATTTATCCTTAAAACATATTGAATATTATTGTGTTTGATTGCTGGCTGTATATTTGTATAGAAAATTTGTATTATATTCGTATGATGGTGCAACTCTAGGGCCAAATGTAAGGACAGATTTTTGGGATGGAGAGGCTTGTATCTTTGTTTGGCTCTGATAAACAAGTAACTTGTCTGCCGGATGACCTTCTCCTGCTCCTTGGGAGCCTGGCCAGCTCCTGGGGAGGGGATAAAGGAATGTTTTCTGATAAACAGGTGGGCATGCTTCGTGTCTCGGCTCTCTGGCCAAGATCCGGGATGGGACGCACTGCTTGCCTAAGATCTTGACAATGAGCCACCCTTGTCCTTGGGGGCTTTAAGGGAGAGCCGGAGCAAGCCTCTGCTGCTGCTGTTCCATCCCCGGGGAACACGCAGTCATGCTGGACGTTGAACATGCGGGTGATGACTACTAATGATGTTTAATTCTCAGTATGGATCATTTTCTGGTGCTGTGTAAAAATTGCTTAGTAATGCCCATAGTACTGTAAATTCTACAAAACATGAGTACAACGCAGATATGAATCGATTGACTATTGTGGCTGAGGTATTCTGTAACAGTCCCTTTAATAAAAAATTAACAAAATAAATTAATTTAAAAAACAGAGCATTCAGGACCTGCCACTCTGCTTGGTATGTCATTACAAAAATCAACAAGGAGGACTATGCCTGATAAATGAGGGTGCTATCAATGTGGGCAACAGGGACATGTACAAATATTGTCCAAAAGCCCCTCCTCCTGGGATTTGCCCCTGGTGCTAAAGGGAAAGGCATTGGACCAATAAATGTCACTCCAAAACTGATAAAAACGATAATTCCTTAAATAAATAAAGTTCAGAAAACTAAAAGCGGGGCTGGCCCCAGGCCCCATCCCAACAAATTTTGGGGGCCATGACATTTGTTCCTCAACAGAACACCCTAAATCCGTCAATTTCCTCCACGGAGTCACAGAGGGTAGTGCAGGACTGGACCTCAGTGCCACCTCCTATACAGTATTGACCCCTGAGATGGGCCCACGAGGCCTCCCTACTGGGATTTTTGGTCTCCTACTGGGCAGAAATAGTATAACTATGAAAGGGTTACAGGTTTTTCCTGTAGTTATAAACACTGACTTTACTGGTGAGATAAAAATTATGACTCAAGCCAATAATGTAACTTTACCTCCAGGACAATGCATTGCTCACTTGATTCTGTTCCCCTTCTCTTCAATTGGTAGGTCTTTTTTAAATAAAAGAGAAAATAACGGTTTTGGATCTTCTAATGCTTATTGAATACAACCCATAACTAAGGACCGACCCAAATTTTTCTTAAAATTAAATAAAAAGTTATTCAGTGGTCTTTTAGATACTGGAGCTGATGTCTCTGTTATTTCAGCAGCAAGCTGGCCCACAAATTGGAAAAAGAAAATTACCATAACTCAGTTGCAAGGTATTGCTCGGAGTCAAAGATTAACACAAAGTTCTAAATTGCTGCAATGGAGGATGAAGCAGGTAATGCTGGAGCTTGTTACCCCTATATTTTGGCTGCATTACTTGTTAATCTCTGGAGACGTGATATTCTAACTCAAATGGGGGCTTTAATACACAGTCCAAATAAGATTATTACCATTAACATACTTCAACAAGGTCATTTGCCAGGTAAGGGTTTAGACAAACAACAAAGCATCGCATCTCCAGTTACTTTAACTGTCAATCATGACCAGAGAGGCTTGGGTTTCCCTTGATGGCTACTGGTCAGTCTGTGCCCCATGCAAAAAATAAAATAAAATAAAAATCAGATAATCCCGTGTGGGTGGATCAGTGGCCTTTACTGCAGGAAAAGATAAATGCTGCACAGATATTGGTGGAAGAACAATTAACAACAGGACATATAGTTCCTTCTAATTCTCTTTGGAATAGTCCTATTTTTGTTATCAGACAGAAATCTGGGAGATAGCAATTGCTTCAAGGCCTTAGGCCTGTTAATGCTACTGTGGAAATTATGGGGGCTTTACAACCAAGTTTACCATTGCCAATTGCAATTCCAAAGGACTCTTATATTACAATAATAGATTTAAAAGATTATTTTTATACTATACCTTTACATCCAGAAAACTGTCCCCGATTTGCTTTCAGTGTTCCATCAGTAAATTTTCAAGAACCTATGCAAAGATGCCAATGGAGGATCTTACCTCAAAAAATGGCTAATAGCCCTACTTTGTGCCAACAATTCATTGATGCTGCTCTTCAAAATATTTACAAAAAATATAACAATTTATGTATTATACACTATATGGATGATATTTTGATAGCTGGACCCGAGGAATTTTTGGTGATACAGTAATAAGAGAGCAATTATCTGCTTTTGGTCTTATCATAGCCCCTAAAAAAATACAACTTCAATATCCTTATCAATATCTAGGCTTCCAATTGTACCCATGAAAAGTACTTCCACAAAAGTCACCTTACAATTGGATTCTTTACAGACTTTAAATAAGTTTCAAAAACTTCTAGGGAATATTAATTTGCTTTCTGTACATCTCCACCTCACAACAGGAGACCTTAAACCTTTATTCAATATCCTTTTTTTTTTTTTATTTTTTCCAAAATTTTTATTAAAGCCTTTCCCATACATTGTAACCAAAACTAATAAACACAACAGAAGACAAATAGGAAAAAAATGAAGACATAGGTGGGTGGTCTGAAATCCTTTATTCAATATCCTAAAAGGAGGTCAAGCTTCTGTAATTTGTGATGGTCACCATACAGTTATTAACACCTCTTTTTCATCTCTACAGCTAGTTGAATTAGTTGCTGTTGCACTTGCATTGCGGTCTACTTTGGATGTAGCGGTTAACATATACACCAATAGCAAATATGTGTTCCTATCAGTGCCTCAATTGGACACTTGTTCATTCCTTCCTGGATCCTCAGCTGCTTCTCCTCTGTTTTCTCGCATTTGCACTGTCATTCGACAGCATACCTGTCCTTTCTTTATAGGTCATATTTGAGCACATTCCAATCTTCCTGGACCATTGGTAGAGGGTAATCATTTGGCAGATTCTGCTCTATAAATATATTCTATTGCTACAGCAACAAAAGATCACGTTTTACATCATTTAAATGCTCATACGTTACACTTAAAACATAATATTACTCAAGAACAAGCTCGACAAATTGTAAAATTCTGTTCTACTTGCCCCATCCAGTTACCAGTACCTCACTTTCACATTATTCCTCGTGATTTATTCCCCCAATCAACCATGGCAAATGGATATCACCCACTTCATGGAATTTAGTAAACAAACATATATACATGTGTCTATTGATGCTTGTTTTAAACTTATTTTTGCTTCCTTACATACAGGTAAAGCTACAAGACATGTTATTGCCCGTTACTTACAAGCTTTTGCTTCCCTAGGAACTCCAAAGCAGATTAAAATGGATAATGGACCTGCTTATATTTCTGCCTCTTTTAGAAATTTTTGTGTAACTTTCTATCTCATGTTACTGACATTCCTTATAATCCTCAGGGTCAAGACATTATTCTACATACACATAACACTTTAAAACAATATTTTAATGATATAAACAAAAGGGGGAGTTTAGGGTTCTTGCCCATTCTCCTAACAAATGGCTCTCACGTGCTTTATTCATTTTAAATTTTTTCACATTGAATAAAGATGGTCGTCTTGCAGCTATTCAACAGTGGCATCCACAAACAGCTGGGGTAAGAACAATGGTAAAATGGAAGGATCCTATCACCAATCAATGGAATGGACCTGATCCAGTACTGGTATGGGACATGGGCTCTTAAGGGATGGGTATTTTTATGCAACCAATTTGCTTTTACATTGTTAGCCCCTAATGATTTTCACAACTGCTCACTGGGCCGTGTGGCCCCAATGCTAACATCTGTATTTCCAAAGGCACAACAGTGATGCTCATTACCTGAGAACTGTGATGATGATGTCATCTTAATTGGAGACCTGCTTTCACCATGGCTATACAGCTAGTGGGAGTTCCTGGATTGGCATATGGAAATAATTGTGGACTACGAAGGCTTACACGTTTGATGACCAAAACAATCAATCTTACTGCTACTGCGCTATCCAATATAGCTAAAAAATTGGATCAAGTTCATTCAGGAGTACTCTTAAACCGAGCAGCTATCGATTATTTGCTGTTAAAAGATCATGTAAGCTGTAAATCTGTTCCAGGGGAATGTTGTTTTAACATTACTAACAATGCCATATATAGAGTCTGTTATGGATAAACTTAAGAGTAAAATGCAACATATGTTTATTACTAACCCACTAACATTTGAAGGGTTTCAGTGGATTCATTGGTTATTAATGCGGGCTAGATTGTTACTGATTTTCATACTTTGTATGGGATGTTTTCCATGTGTTCTACAATTTGTGCTATCTTCGCTACAGTCTGTATGGACTGACATTCATCACTTAAAATTTTGTACCAAACCTCCTTTGTAATCAAAAATAATTAATATTTGGCTGTATGTTTCATCTCTCACCTAATGTTGGGCTAAAATGGTACTCAAAAATGGGTAAGACACTCCACATCCTGTACCTACCTAAGACAGGGCTCAAGTTAAAGAATGGGTCGCTATTGGTTGCTTGTGTGTCATGATACTACTGGGCCTTGCCTTCATAGCCAGATGGATCAGAGCCTTAGCACTCCGTCAGCAGAATACCAACTTGATAATCCAACAGGCTATGCTGGCCACCTTGTGATCTCACCCCAATAAAGAAGTATGGCTTAGCATGATGGAGCGGTAGTCAAAGACGGGTAAACACTGATGGGCGCTCCTAGCAACCTAAGACAGAGGGTAGGACAGGCTTCCTATTACCTCCATGACGTGTAAGCAGGTAGCGCGCCATTGGGTACCTAAGACAGGCACGTTTCCATGCCATTTAAATAATAAAGAAGGGGGAGATGTGGGGCTCCATGGGATGCGCAGCCATGGAGCCCCCACGTCAAGGTCGGTCTGATAGCTGTTGCTGTGTCTTTATCACAAGGCGGATGTTGCTAGTTTCGGTTAGGGCAATGCTTTCCCACAGTCAGGACTTTCCAGAGGAGTTGAGAATGTTGTAAACAACAAGATGGCGCCAAGGACCGCGCGGTGAGCCTGCCTGCTGCGTGACACCTCATCTGATTGGCCCGAGAACGCGTGCACACTGCGTGAACAGACAGCGGATTGGAGTGTTCCGTGCATGGACTTGAGCCTGCTTGCAATTGGCCAGATTTTGTATATAAGCTATGTGCTGAGGAAGGAGGGGGCTTTCCTGTCCACTCTCCTCCTCTCATTCTTTCTCTGTCCCTGTTATTTTCCGATTAAAAGTCTGCTGAAGACCGATAAGCTGCGAACAGTGTCATTCCTTTGTGGGCAAGGGAGCGGCAGGGTGTGGGTTGGGCATCCCCAAACCATTAAGATAGATGAGAATCTCAAACTCAAAACTAAAACTTGCTAATTTGATAGTGTAATCTCTGGGAGTCAGATCAACTGGTTGGCGACACTGATGACTCATGCTGGAGGAGAACCAAACCACTCTGCCTCCATACTCAAAGCAATTTTCCACCACTGGTAGATTTGCCTGGAGTCTGTGGCCTCGCCATCCTATAATGTGATGTTCATGTTCCCATTTCACAGATGAAGGAACTGAGAATGACGGAGACTGGAGTCAAGTAACTACAAAGCAAACTCAAATCTTTGTGATTCCAAAGTCCACCACTTGAAATTGACCAGCAGTCAGCCAAAACTTGGTGTTGCCCTGGACAGATTTCTAGACAATTGGATGTGAGTGGAAGGATGCCGCTTGCTGATTTAACTCGTGAAAACTGTCCACTCATCACACTCTGTATTTTCTCTTTTCCTGTAGGGTGGATAAATGTCAATATCCAATGTTGAGGATTGTAGATCCTCTGCCTGGGTCCCTAAATGACTATGGAGCAAAACACCTTCCCTCACACCCATTGTGACCAACTTCCTCCCGTTAAAGGCCTTTTGGATTTTGTATGAGGGAGAAGTAATTAGCAAATAGCACAACCTTAGCTCAGTCGCATAGCAAATGAGTAGCATAACTAGGAGATGAAGACAGTTCTTCATGACTCCACAAACATATAACATTTGGCATCCCTCTGCAGTGAATTAAACTATAGAAACCATGATCCTTCTTTATGTCTTACTTTAAAAGTACAAAGCTACCCAAGGAAGCTCTAATTTAGATACTTCTCTCTGTGTCACAAAAACATAGCCAATTATTTGGTGTCAGCTGATGTATGCTGGCTTTTCACAGTTTATGTTGGTTTTCATGATGATAAAAACCAAGCAAAAGTGTCTGTGCTCAGTGTCCATGTGCAAGACTTCCTTCCTACGTCATTTCTGTCACACCTCTGTCTGCCTTGTGAACACTGACCCTTTCTGACCATGGACTGAAGTTCTGGTCTTACTCGGCCTGCAACTCATTCTACTGCCACTGAAAGCCATTCTTTACCTGTCTCTACCAACTTTTATGCCTCTGTTCGTCAACCACTAGCCTCCCCTCTCAGCAGCCATCTTGTCCTTTTCAATGTTGCCTGCCTTTGTTCTACAACTTTCCTCACACTGTGTTTGTGACCTGGCCCCTCCCATACTTGGAGGGTTAACTCAAATCCTCTCCAAGAATCTTTCCCTAATGACTCCAGTCCATCCTGAAGAATCCTTTTTAATACTTAAGATCCACACTGAACATTATGACACTTGATGCTCCATTTTGTTTTATTTTTATGTGCTTTACATGTTAAGCTTTATCTTCTCTATAAGATTTAAACTTTCTCAAAGGTACTGATTGCAATAAACACAACTTGGTAACTATCATAATACCTGACAAGATGTCTTACAAATGAAAGATGCTCAGTAATTTTTTTTTTGAATGATTCAAGGAGTGCAGCAACAGTGACTTCTTTTGTTTGTTTTACAGTTCCTAGAACAATCCTCAGTATGGTGTTTAAAACAGCTGCCAGCTGAATTCTCTCTCCATGGCTGGGAACCCTCCCTGAGGATTTTTTGCTATGATTTTGAAACATGGTCCAAACTTGTTTACAGTGACCTCCAAGGCTCATCAGTAATGGTTCTCAAGCTTCAGCTTGTTGAGCCCTCATTCCAGAATGTCTGATTCAGTAGGTGTGGGGTAAGGCCCAAGAACATATATTTCTAGTGGGTAATGTTGTTGCTGTTGGTCCAGGAATCACGCTTTCAGAATTACTGTCATGTGAGATCACGCAGCTCCCCTGCTCTGCAGAAGCTGCACTGATTTCCTTGTTCCTTATCCATATCAGGTGTGCTCCTGCTCCAGGGCTTTTGCAATTGCTGTTGCTACAGACACCCATGCGCATGTTCCCTCAGTGCCCCCTTGAGCGGATTATTTAACCTCTCTTTGCTTTGCTTTCCCCAACTATAAAATGAGAATGCTGACAAGTGCACCTGGATCCCAGGCAAATTGAGAAGCCCAAATAAGGTGACACAAACAGAAGTCTTCAGCTGGGCCAGTATTCAACAAGGGCTTGGCCAACCATCAGGTGATAGTATTCAACACTGAAGATCACAGTGAGGTACACTTAGGGAAGGGTTAACTCCTGCGAGGAGAGAGGTGTAAAAAAATCAGCATTTACAGATAAAGTGGAAAGATGAACAACAACAAAAAAAAAAAGGTAGAAAGAAGAAGAGACATGGCCGGAACACACCATGTGAGAAGCTCTATGTGTTTATTTGACATGTCTATTAATCTAATCCCTTAAAATCATTAATTTCTAATTACACAGAGCTTCATCCGATGGGCAGAGCCTGAGGTTATTGATTACTCAGACCAAGGTGCAAGGGTCACCTGTGCTTTCAGAGCTTTGAACAAAAGGCTGTTTCAGGTGGTTTTTAGGTTATCTGTTGCCAAGGAGCTCTGGGGCTTGCTCTGGAACATCAGGGGCCTGCAACCGGAGGATTTTCCATGGGTCATCTTTTAAACTGAAGGTATTTTTTTTTTTTTGTCTTATGTTTTTAAGTAACTTTTCAAAAATAAGGTCCTAGAAAAAGAAGAGCTGGCATGGTCAGAATGACAGGCATGCTTCTCAGCCTCCTGTATTCTTGCCTGTTTTTGAAGGACAATCAGCATTTTCTGAAGCCTGTTGACAAGCTCAGAGAGTTCCCCAAGTGCACTCTGGGTTTGGGGTTATTGCTTTGAGTATGTTTGACTTTTCCTCACATGTCACTGAACTGTGCTTAGTTTGGCCTATGGGGCACTGACCTGTAAGTAAATAGATAATGTTCTCGAAAAAGTTTGACTTCTGTTCAGTGCTTTAGAATGATGAAAACTGACGTTTAAAAAGGTTGTAAAACTCCGGTTTTCCACAGTGGAACCATTGGTTTTTTCTGCTTTCTTCAAGTCTACATACACAGGTAAATGGCTTATACTTACTTAATAAATTTTGGGGCTATTCCATTTAATTCTCACTTTGTGGGACATTATGTTTCTGATTGACTAAAGGCTGGTCTCTTGTCATGCGGTAAAAAATTTTATGATAGGAACTTGCATAATATTTTAGTGATTTTGTAATATTATATACAATACTGATGATTCTTAGTTGTGGTCTTGTATATAGAAATGCTATTTTTTCCATCCATTCTTCTTAGAATAGGTGTGTGTGTTGTGTTGAGGGTGTAGTATATGTGAGTCTGTGCTGCAGATAAGTGAATGAATTAAATAATCTGCTCAAAGGAAAAATACCAGTGAGCTTTGTTAAAAAAAAAAAAAAACTCACACACTTGGTTTTGTGAAAGCACACTTTTGTTTGCACTAATAATCAAGAAGTCTCAATTCTTTTGCCATATCAGTAGCCAGTTGCTAGAGTTGACCCCAGGCTTTGGTGACAGCAAGACCATCCAGAGGTTGGTACCTAACAGCCATGGTATAATGGCTGGTGGTGAGCACTAACCTTTCATACTCTGAGCTCTTTGATTTGCACCCAGGGTGTCTTGTAGAACCCTGTGTGTCTCCCGGTTTTGACTGTCTCAAGCCTCCTTGTGGTGCTGCTCATTCAGTCCCCTTTCTGAAGTCTGTCAGTGTCCCAGACTTTCTTACGTGACCCATTCAGGTATTGGTCCGTTCCTCTTCTTTCTCTTCCCCAGCAGTGGTCATTAATGCTCTGAAGCTAAAACCTTTGATATGTCTGGTTTAGGAGATTGTCCTCCAATGTGTGTTTCTGTGTAGATAAGATTACAAATTATCAAAAGAAAACTTCAACCTTGGATAGGTCAACAGAGTGACACGTGATGGGCAGGTTATAGACCACATGTCATTTATAGAGGAGGACACTGGTGTTGGCATGAGCAATTAAGACTTCTTTGGCCACCCAATTCTAGCATTAAAAAGTCTGCACAAGTGCTTAGAGACCTCAAATTCTTTTTAATTCCTGGGTTCCCTTAAATTTATTGGAAAACAGATTTTTCTGAAAGGCCTTAAAAATTCTCAATTTGTTGCAGAAGACAATATGTGGAAGTTAAAATAATTTAATATGTAAAAATGCAGAATAAAAAGGAAATAATATTGAATCTTATTTTCAGTTCTGAATTCTCTTGTTTTGTTGTAAATTGTTAAGAAATTTTGATTAAAACTTCCTGCAATATGTGATACCCAGATCAAATTAACTTAGGTGCTAACAAAGTATAGATAATGTGACATTTGTTTGTGTTGATGGGAGAAAATAATATGATTAAACACCATGGCACTATGAGACCAAAGGAAATACCAAGTACTAAAACAAATGTTTTTGTCACTAAGAACTAGTTTCTCGTGATATTTGTGGGGTTTCAGAAACAAGCAGAGATATTTTCCAGCATTTGCTCTGTGTTCCATCTAACAACAGGGGTTTAGCCAGTGGGGGGAGATGCTGTCTAATGATGTATGAGTTTCTTTCTTCATTTACGATGATATGAGAAACAATTCATCTAACATCCAATTCTGAAAACATGATGTGCTCTGTA